TGGTGATGCTGGGTCAGTGGCTGACTTATGGGTTTGTGATGGGTTTATTTATTATGCATTTGAGGGAAATCAGTTATGCCTTTACATCATTCCAAAATAACCTCAGGTTTTACCAGTAATGGTCTTTTTATTTATTAATTACATAATTAAAGGATTTAAAGGGATTTAAGGGAATAAAGAAAAACTGTAAAATAATTAGAATTTATTGCAAAGCAATTAATTAGAATTTTTTGAAAATAATATTTTTATTTTAAATTGCACACTTTTTAAATTTCCACATTCACTCTTAATGTATGCCTAAAAGCCAAAAATGGCTCTGTTAATGTTTTTTGTCTCGTCACATTTGGTTGTTAATTCCATGAATTATGTAAATGACAGCCTATGGTTTTGAATTAAAAGCGTGACATTTGACTAAAAAGTTGAGTAGTTTTCATAACTGGATATTATTGTCAGTCTTTCAGCATTTCTATTGTAAATCAGTTGTCAGATATTAAATATTTAGTTACTTACATCTTCCTTTGTGATCTTTATCTGCTAAAACTGAAGTGTTCTACTGTACGTGAATTCATGTAAACAGTATCAGCCAATTTGATTGGCCATCTCAGTCATTTTGACATGTTTAGAGTCATAAGTTGTAGTTAAAGAAAATTCAAAGGTTTGTGATTGACCGTCTGCTGAACTGAACTTTGGGAATATGGTGACTGCAGACTGACAGAGAGGGCCGCTTCGCCTCTGTCGGTTCGCATCTGAATATCTGATTCTGTACAATCTAGAATTCTGTATGTGTGTCTCACAGCTCATAATCAAAGAGCTGCTGTCACACAGAGTCCTGTAGGACCTGCTCTCAACCTCAGATGGGCCATTCACTGACCATCCACTGACTGTCAGATGCAAATTAAACACAAAACTGGCAAGAACTGTGAGTGGTCCAGCTAAATATTATCTGATTGGCCAGGTTGGTGGCATAACTGCATATTCTTCTTTATTTTGAAGTTATTTGTAGGTCCAAAATAACCAGTACTTACTACTTTTGGATGAATAGAAAAATAAAGTCTACATACAATTCTGATCATTTTCCCAGTAAAGATGCACGAAACATTTATTATCATTATTAATGCTGAAAACATTTGTGATGCTTCAGAATTTTGTAGAAACCATGGTACAGTTGATGAATAGAAACTTCAAAAGAACAGTATTTATTTGAAATATTTTGTAACATTATAAATGTCTCTGTTGTTTATCAGTATATCAGTATATTTACACTGAACTCCCCAGGTGTAAAGCTTCCTCAACCTCTCAATACCCTATTGAAGTTGGGAATGAACTTTAGTACAGTTACTTTCCAGCTGAGAATGACACCCTCTGAATGTATCTGAAGTTCATGCAGATACCCTTAGAGAGATAGTTCACAAAAAAATTATGATAAATGTCACAATGTAAGTCCGCTTGTTGTTGGTGCACCTACATTCATCGATATCTTCAGGGTGAGTAAATGATGACAGAGTTTTCATTTTTGTCTGAACTGTCACTTCACTAATAGGGCAACAGATGTGATGTTGACATCAGGTCAGTGTTTGTGTGTGTGTGTGTGCTCTGCCTCAGTTAAACGGTCACACCAGAGTGTTAACTCACTCAGACAGGGTCGTTTTCAACAGGAAGACGTGTCAGAAGGAGATAATGACTTCTTTTGTTTGATGCAATATTGTCTTTTTGTAGGTGAACACAGGATGCATGTGAATGATTTAACTGGTGCGTTGCAGACCTGTAGACATTGTCTAAGTGCTGTACGCAAAACCCAACAAAGGACCGTACATCTAATCTAATCACCGATACTAAAGGGGTTAGACCAGTCTTGATCACGCAGCAGGAAGTGTGGAAAGGAGAAAACCCAGATGCTTTCATATTCTCACGCAATCATTTTAGCATTTTCATACCGATTTGTAACACATCCATCGTGACTTGAAGAACTGCGGTTATGGGATGGCTTGTGAGGGATCATATGTTAATGTCTGTTCTGAATGAGTCAAAGGAATACAATTATTATGGAATATGAAGCAGAATTTTTTGAGGAAATGATTAATGAAGACTCGTAGTAGCTTGTTTGTGTATGAGAGTTATGTATGATATGCTAATCTGTCTGAGTGGGTGCTTCTGGTGGACAAAGATCAAATCTGTGCTGGCTGGGTGTTGATAGCCCTCCTTGATTACTGTCATTGAAATCTGTTGTTTTTTATTGGAGCATGTGGTGTGGTGATGCTGGGTCAGTGGCTGACTTATGGGTTTGTGATGGGTTTATTTATTATGCATTTGAGGGAAATCAGTTATGCCTTTACATCATTCCAAAATAACCTCAGGTTTTACCAGTAATGGTCTTTTTATTTATTAATTACATAATTAAAGGATTTAAAGGGATTTAAGGGAATAAAGAAAAACTGTAAAATAATTAGAATTTATTGCAAAGCAATTAATTAGAATTTTTTGAAAATAATATTTTTATTTTAAATTGCACACTTTTTAAATTTCCACATTCACTCTTAATGTATGCCTAAAAGCCAAAAATGGCTCTGTTAATGTTTTTTGTCTCGTCACATTTGGTTGTTAATTCCATGAATTATGTAAATGACAGCCTATGGTTTTGAATTAAAAGCGTGACATTTGACTAAAAAGTTGAGTAGTTTTCATAACTGGATATTATTGTCAGTCTTTCAGCATTTCTATTGTAAATCAGTTGTCAGATATTAAATATTTAGTTACTTACATCTTCCTTTGTGATCTTTATCTGCTAAAACTGAAGTGTTCTACTGTACGTGAATTCATGTAAACAGTATCAGCCAATTTGATTGGCCATCTCAGTCATTTTGACATGTTTAGAGTCATAAGTTGTAGTTAAAGAAAATTCAAAGGTTTGTGATTGACCGTCTGCTGAACTGAACTTTGGGAATATGGTGACTGCAGACTGACAGAGAGGGCCGCTTCGCCTCTGTCGGTTCGCATCTGAATATCTGATTCTGTACAATCTAGAATTCTGTATGTGTGTCTCACAGCTCATAATCAAAGAGCTGCTGTCACACAGTGTCCTGTAGGACCTGCTCTCAACCTCAGATGGGCCATTCACTGACCATCCACTGACTGTCAGATGCAAATTAAACACAAAACTGGCAAGAACTGTGAGTGGTCCAGCTAAATATTATCTGATTGGCCAGGTTGGTGGCATAACTGCATATTCTTCTTTATTTTGAAGTTATTTGTAGGTCCAAAATAACCAGTACTTACTACTTTTGGATGAATAGAAAAATAAAGTCTACATACAATTCTGATCATTTTCCCAGTAAAGATGCACCATTATTTAAACATTGCTTGATGCAAGTAAGCTTATAATTATTTTTGTGTTATGGTCAATAACCGATAAATGGTCAATAAATGTTAATGTCAAGTTCTGTCATGAAACTCTAGATGGCGAAGGCTGATGGGTCGTTAATGCAAACTGATGATATTCACAGCATTAAACTACTTGGCACACGCTGATTGGTTCATATTGCATACGCAGCCAATAAGCTTGCTGCTTTAGGTTATTATGGCTGGTTAGCATTCAGAGTTCCTCTGAAACCCTCCACCTTCCCCAGCTCCACCTGTATAGACCTGCTATGGGTTATTATATTATGCTGTTTATGCAGCAGCAGTACTGTATGTCTTAAATACTCACAGCACCGTATCGACGTATGTATTGGCAGTAGCAAGTTCCTGTACTTGCTTTGCAGCATCAGCAGCAATAATCTTCAACTACAGTAATAACCAACAGCAGCAGCAATTCAGCAGCAGAAGCTTAGCAGATCTGTTCTGCCAAGACCAAATACATTAACAATGTCATATCTGTAAGGATAAAAGAAACTCAGATACTTTGATCTTCTGAGACAGACAATACACACACAGTGCATTAACATACAGACATCTGTTTCCACATCTCACTGAGAGAAAATGCGGGAAAACGTCTCTCACATATGCATTGGGTTTTTCCTCATCCCCTTCCTTCCCTGCACACTCAGAATGGTCAATAGTATAATGTTATATATGAATGCAAATAAGATTTACAGTCATGTTTGGTATCATTTGAATAGTCTCAGGGCGAGTGGTACAATGGTCTTAATCTTACAAAAGTAGACTAAAAGATAATACAGATCCTAAGAGTTAAGAGATGCTTTGATTACTACTTTGCGTGCTGAAAAGACAGAACACGCAAGAAACCTTCATCCACCACTGGATACCTTCATTGGGCCAAGTGCGTGGACCTTACATATCCATTACCATGCTAAAATCTTCCGATCTTGTCATGATAGAATTTTTTTTACTATTTTGTCTAAATAAATGGAAAAATAATGCAATTAGCTTAATATTGCATTTAACAGTGTTATTAAATTATTATTGTTTTTAAATGTTAACTTTAAGTGAGCCTTAGATTATGGCAAAGGTAATCTAACTATAAAAATTGGTGAAATAAGCATGAAGAATTAACTATCCAATATCAATGATACCGCTAAAGGAAAAATTATTAAATACATAAATAAATAATAATTATCAACATTAACATATATATGTATATAATAATTGTTTGCATTTAATCTTCATTTCATTGTCTTGTTAAATGCTGTCAGTGGTGTTGCCATTGTTTTCAGCTGTCGTTTGATGTCATTTCCTGTATTACCCATGATGGTGTGATTATGAAAAGATTTTTTGCTTTGTATTTCACTTGGCGTGGTTAAGTCACATTACAGTCGACCTACAGATTCCTGCAATTATTACTGACGTATTGTTTATTCTCTGGCGCTGTAGGATTTTCTCTGGTATGTTTTCCTAAGGCAAGTTTCCCAGACTCAAAGCTAAACGTCTAAATCCTCTGCTCGGTTTTTCAGTGCAATATCAACACAGACAGTATAATTTAGTTGAAGACAGAGTGTTTCGTTATGGATAATGTTGTTTCTCACAGATGTGTCTCGCTTCTGCAGGTCTGCGGTGTGTGAGTGGGATGTCTGCAGATCAGCTGTGGCCTGACTATGGTGAAACACCAACCGTTACAGGTGTATGAGAGACAGCTGTGTTTGTCCTGTTTGACCGGGATCTACGGCTGCCGCTGGAAACGGTACCAACGCTCCCATGACGACAGCTCCAAGGTAACCACAGCATCATCCTTTGTGGGAAAAGCCATTGTATTCTAACCACATAAAGACTGAATGAAGATGATAGAGGCAAAATTGACACTGACCTGTTGAGTCATTGACTTTTCGCTAAGCTCCACATTAAAAATGTTACAGACCAATCATGTTGAAACGTTATGGTCATTTACACTAATGTTACTGTATCACTTGTAATCGCTATTTATATATTTAGCAGTTTATAAGCACATTTTAATTAAAAAAACTCACTCATTTTGATGGGAAGTTGAGTACAGCTTGAATAAGTGGCCAACTATAACTGAGGAGTCTGAGCTTAGAAAAGTGTCATTTTTTGTCAACTATGATTCCCACACTGTGGCTTATAGTTATGGATCCACTTTGATGATACTGATGGCTTTCTCAGGTAATTTCTGTCAGCGTCTGGTCATGAATATCTTGTTCGTTATTCATTTGAGGCAGACAGCAGAACCGAAGGACAACTTGGCTGTCTGCGAAGAAGCAAAAAGCCTTTCTCCTCTGCTGTCTGAATGTCTCTTTATCAGACAGAGAGAAACTCAAGCCAGAGTTTCAGATTCCCTGGAGGACGTGTTGTAGGTCAATTCCAATCTGTATACAACCCAGCAAGAGGCTTAGTCAGGTCTCTCTGTCTCTCTTTGACTTGTCAGTTCAATGTCTGGTGACACCAAACTGGATCCTGACATTATTTAGTAAAGTTATTCAAGCAGAAATGCCCATTATTTTAACCAAGCATCCATTCCAGCCCAGCAATCAAATGTTCTGGCCTGATCTGAGCCGCAGTCAGATTGAAAATCAACCCTTATCTAATCTTTACCTAAAGTCCTCTAATATTCATAGGGTATCAAGCTTAAATGTAGCAATATCCTCAGAAGTTTAGAATAGCACTGATATAAATAGAACAATAGCTGATTTAATGATAAAAATCGAGCTTAGTTTCACTCAAGGGTTGCAAAGTTTTTATAATTTTTATTTAGTTCATTATAATTAAATTAATTGTGATGTGTGTATCTATATATTTTCAAATTCTATCATTAAATTATACAGAATGTAATATATAGAATATAATTGCATTTTTAGTTTAGTTTATTTTAATTATACATATTTGTGTGTCATATATATATGTGTATATATATATATATATATATATATATATACTGTATTTATGTGTGTGTGTGTGTATGTTTTATTTTATATATTGTATATTATATAAAAATGTATTAAAAATTATATATTAATATTTTCGGTTTTTGTTTTTCAAACTCAGCATTCCATACATTATGTAATTTTTGTAGTGTGTTTAAACTTGACAATATTACTGTAGGTAATATTAGCTGGGATTTGTTAATTTTTTACGAACTCTGTCTTGACCCCTTATTTGACTGGGCTTAAGATATTTTTATCTAAAATTTAATTCAAAAACGTTAAAAATAAAATCAAAAATTAAAACGATGTTTGAAACGATATACTGACTCATTGATTTAAACATGCAACCTGAGGTAAAAGTTATAGCATACTATTGTTTGAAATGATTTTTTTTATCTTGCCTGCTGACATACTATATTTTTAAACAAACAACAATTTTAAACAAACCCTTTCTTGACTCATTATTTCACCGGGCTGCCAAAAGTTAAGATATTTGATATGAAATTCAGTAAAAAAAAGACAACTAAGTGTATTAATGTCTGAGATGATAAGTCACTCACTGATTTAAACAAACATGAAACTTGAGGTTAAAAATGTAGCATACTGCATTGCTTGAAATGTTTTGTTTATTTATTTATTTATATTTGCTAAAGCAGTTTATTATTATTATTATTGTAGACCATATATACTTTTTACTGTGCAGTCAGCAGTATTGTAGTATTCAGTTCTGATCTGTTTATTCTTTTCCATGTTCTATCCAGTTTGAAGCTCGTGATGATTCAGTTTGTGGGTTTTTGTACTTTCTTTTCACCTCCCCACAAGTTGTTATAAATGCTCCTTCAGGAGTGAAGGCACACCCACGGCCATTAGTTCATCTTTCCATTTGAACAGGCTCTCTGAAGTAACACCTCGGCATTGAGAACGAACTCTTCAGAAGCTCTGCCATTGGCTGGCTTAACTTTGTGTCATCACTGCTAGCCCCGCCCACTCTATAATTAGAGCAGGGTAAGATGTGTCCTACCCAATGTGCTCATGAGCAGGTCTGGAGGAGCTGATGGGATTGAGGGATTAGCAGCTGTGCAGAATGAATGAACAGAACAGTGAAATGTGTCCTCCACTGTAGAGTGACTCCACCACAATCCACAGACCAATAAAACATGAGCCAGTGCATTATTCAGTTCTCTGTCAGGGTGTGTGGAATCACTAGAAAAATATACGCAAGCTGTTATTGTTGGGAATTGTATTTAAGACATGTCAGATGACTGTTGTTGTGGTCTTTGAAATCTCAGAGTTGGTGAAAAGCTTCATCAGTGCAAATGTTGAGTTGTGTTTTGTTGGAAATAATAGTCATTGGTCTTCATATTCATAATGCAATTACATCTTTCAGTTTTATTTGTTAAGTTGTCAATCAGTGGTCCAATGTAGGGTGAATAGGGGTCATCTGAGACATTGGGTGATGTGGAATGACTAGCTCTGATATGTATATTTTAACACTTTCTTTTTTATTTAGGAAATTAATACTTTTATTAGACAAGGACCCATTAAATTGCTCAATAATGAGAGTAAAGACTTCTGTAATAATAAGGAAGATTTATATATCAAATAAATGCTGTTCTTTTGAACTTTCTATTCATCAAAGAATCCTGAAAAAATGTATTATGCTTTCCAGAAAAATATTAAGCAGATGTTTTTAACATTGATAAATGTTTCTTGAAAACCTAATCAGCCTATTAGAATGATTTCTGAAGGATCATGTGACACTGAAGACTGGAGTAATGATGCTGAAAATTCAGCTTTGCATCACAAGAATAAATACAGTTTCAAATATATTCAAATAGAAACCAGTTCTTGAAAATTGTAATAATATTTCATAATATTACTGTTTTTACAGTATTTGTTTGGTCAAATAAATGCAGTCTTGGTGAGCATAAGAGACTTCTTTCTTCAAATACATTAAAATATCATTAGCAAATCAAAACATTAGGATATTCTAGTTGGGTTGTAATGTGAGGTGATGGCGTGAGAAGTCAAAAGTTACCCTAATTCACCCTGCATTTGAACGAATCACTTACAGAATCTCAGGACGTGGTCATTAGATCATTAGATCTATTTCACACCTCCACAGGAACGAAAGGTCTTTTTGGGTTCTGAAAGGGTGAGTGCCAGCAGGATGCAAGCCATCTGATCTGCTAACTCAACTTAGATGTCTCTCTGCACCTTGCGTTACCCAACAGATTCATGTACTGCAAAATAATCACAAAAAAACATGTCTTTCAAAGTCATATACATACTATATTCCTAGTTGACGTGTTGAGTACTTGTGGTTCATGAAAATTAGAATCAACAGAATTTTCTTGGGCAAAAAAAAATGGCCTATTTAATAATAATAATAAAAAAAGAGTGTAATTAGTTACATCCTTGTCCAAATGAAATCTGAGTGATATCTGACAGATTCAGTACTTAAACTCCAGCCATTGTTCCATGTGCTTGCTGCTTTTCCTTCTACGAACAAGCTTGTGAGCATTGTCATGTCATTTAACATGTACATCTGGAAAAAGTTTAATATTATTTATGTATATTTTTAAATTACTTTTATGGTGTAGTATGCCACAGGTTTCTGAATAACATTTTCAAAATCATAAACAACTGAATACACACAGTCATTCACCGAGTGAAATCTTTTCACTCTCAGCACCAGGTGAACCGAGACAAGTTTGATTATTACATCACCCTTTAACAATAAAGCTCCGCCCTCTCGATCTCCAGCAGCGACCTTGCCTGGTCTCCCAGGAAACATGCTTTGGGGCCAGGCAATGTCTCTCTCTCTCTCTCTCTCTCTCTTTCTGAAAGATCCCGCTGTGCTGAAAATGTTCCATTGCTGCTATAATTCGCTGTGGAACGGTGTGTGGTTTCTGTGGTGAAGGAATTTAATTAAATTCTTGTCATTTTGTTCTTAAACTTATTAGTTACTTAAGCTCACATTTTATCATGCTCTTTAAAACATTAAGGCATCTTAAAAGCTACAGATTTGATCTCAGCGGCTTTTTACATCCCCTGCCACACTTGATATGAAGTGCTGATTGTAAAGGTCCTAGGGTTTCAGATGTGAACATGTTGTGAAGGATATAAAGAGAGCTATTAAAAGTCCAAATCTGGAATCATATAAATAAAAAATAAAGTGTCAGGACTGTCACTGACTGTTGGTTTGACATCTGTCTGATTTGTAACGTTCCTCATTGGGATAAAAGTGTCTGCTAAATGAATAAATGTCTATCTGGAGGACACATGTGTTTACATCACTTCCTGTTTTTGTTTTTCAGTGGGAATGTTCATGGTTCTTCCTCGTCTGCTGTTCGTTTCTCCTTCTCCTCGTCTGGTCCTACTTCTGGTTGGAGGCTCGTAATGACTACAACGAGTTCAACTGGTGAGTTCAGCCTGATGTTTGGAGGAACCTGCTGTTTTAGCGGTGACATCAGCTGGTCATTAACTGAACCCCGCTGTGTGTCCTCACCACGAAGCTGACAGCAAGCCATGTTTGCACATTTCATTGCTAGAGCATGTTTTATGAGTTTTCTAGTTTGATTGCAAGGATTACTCTTAGTTATATTCGCAAACATGGATTGCTTAACAACTTTCTGAATTCATTCTACACACTAAGGGCCAGTTTTACTAAACCGGACAAATTAGCAAGAGAGCGCAATTCCAAAACCGTGCCGATGGGCGTGGAAATTTCTGCGGGTGATTTACTAACAACGCGCAAATTAAAGAACACAGACGCAACATCTCATTTACATATCGACCACCGCAAGATACCAAGCGCAACGCAAATTACCTTAATCACAAATAAAGAATAAAGGGACAAAACGTTGAAAAGAACCAGAGGCCAAAAAAGGTAGGGTTGCAAGAAGTTTTGATAGACCTGGTATTGTGTGACCCCTAGTTGAGGGTTCCAAGTCGTCTTTTATTTCCTGAAGCAAATAAAAAAATAACATGGCTTGGCAAACGATATGTTCAGATAATGTGTTAATCTGGCATTCCAAATAAATTAATATGTGTGGAAAAAAATCCTCTCCCTTTTACCACGCGCTCTCTGTTCTCTGTGGTGCCTCCTCCTAGCAACAACAATTGCAGCCATTTCAAGCGCAAAATAGTTTAAGATTCGCTATTGTTGGGCCGTTAAATAATGGCGCAAATACCAGCAATTTGACGAGCGCAAATGTTAGTAAATCGTGTTGCGCGATTCATTTGAATACTCTCCTCTCATAAATTTTGCGTCTGAAAGAGAAACTCCTACACAGTGGCGGCTCGTGGGTTTTAAAGGGGTCATATGATGCTGCTAAAAATAACATTATTTTGTGTATTTGGTGTAATGAAATGT